AAACCTACAATGATAATGACTCCAGTTGTTTGTAGCTGGCTTCCATAAGCACAGTCATTGTAATCCTAGCTCACCTGGACTTTTTCTCCTTTTAGATAGGATAGCAGTAGGTACGGGAGGTAGGGGGTAGGGATTGGGAGGAAGCCTCAGGACCATCAGGGGTGTCAGTAGCTGCTGTAGTCACTATCACCCCAACCTGCTCTAATTTATTGCCTACCTCTCTTATCTGGAAGGAAGGTTGGGCAATCCTACTTCCATAGTGATACTGCCTTGGAAACCCAAGGAGGAGTCGCTATGTAACAACAACAACAACAACATCTCTTATCTGGAGTCAAGGTGAAATTCCTGCAGCTAGGAATGGGTGATGTCTATTGTTGCCATTACCTCTGTGACATCTTCCAGTCACAGTTACCCTGTTCTGAAGTAGGCAGTCTTTCTCTCTATGTGGAAGCCTCAATAACCCTGTGCATAGCAGGGCTATGCAATAGCTGCTTCTTTCCTTTTTCTGGTGTCCTGAAGGTTGAGCGGGATCAGAAAGGGCAATGGCTTCTCCATACTTTTCTCCCCTTTTCCGAGAAAGTGTGGGGAGGTCTATGGCAGTCAGCCTTCTTTCAGAGAAAGCCATCCCTAATTTTCTCCAGCTAGATTTCCTTCCACTTGTCCACAGATTTCTTCCGTCCAACCCATGTGATGATTTTCTCTTCTTCTGATGGTTATGACTATCTATAAAACTAATTTGTTACAGAATACATTATAAATTCTCTGAGGATAGATTCTATATCTTATGTCTAACCCCCACAGCCCTGGGCTGTATATAAGCTTTGTATGTAACAGTCAATCAATACTTGGTGAATGAATGAATGTATGCATGAGTTAATGAATGAATACAATTAACCAAAGTTCATACTTCCGTTATCCCAAGACTGAAGAGAAAGTTCTTCAGTGATTGACTTTATCTTCTACTCCTCTTCTTTACAACAGTTAACTTCTACTGCAAATAGTTATCAAGATCTGATACCATTGCCTGTCAAGAAAATTAAGTAATGGAAATTTCAATCACTTTGCTCCCCAAACAACTTTTCAGGTTAATTTTCAAATTAGAAAGGAGTCTTCAATCCCTACTAATGTGAAGGATAGGGGATGAAGAGAGAAAAGGGAAAAAAGTGTGGGAAACATTCGCTGAGCTAGAAAACAGGAGCATGATTCCACACCTTTAAAATGTCAGCCCAGTAGTACAAGTTATCTCTCTCATCTTCTGAGGAGGAAAAGAAAATAAAGCAACTCAGAGTAATCTACAAATACATATACCCAACTGGTTGTTTCTAAGGGAGAAAAATCATTAAATCTAGTGTCATTCTTTCCCCATATGTGTCTAATTTCATGAAAATACTCTTCATGTGGATCCCCATGCACTAGCCTATTCAAGACAAAAGCAGTCAGAGCAAAAAGTCAATCTAAGTCCAGAGGACTCCAATGCAGACTGAACAAAATAAATTTTATAAGCTGCTGTGTAAGGAACCTGGTGCACATTACACCAATGTGATACTGCCTGCTGATAATAAACTCACTGATAGCTGTCAGCTGACGAGATCTGATGTCAGCACTGCCCCTGCTTTCCACCCTTAGTTTGTCATCTGCAAAATGTTGATAATAAATGTGTTTATGAGGATTCATCTGTTAATGTTTGCAAGCACTAGGGAAATGAGCAGTACTCCAGCTATTAGTGAGTCAAAATAGTTGAATTTATGTCATTCCAGACTCTTCATCAAAGCTGAATCAAGTGCTACCATGTAAATTAATGTAATAGGTGAATGAGGTCCTAAAATGGTGATTACTTTCATTGTGCCATGAGGATGAAGTAAAGAAGACTGTTTAAGAGCAGGCAGTGCAAAGGTGATATACTTGAGAGGGGCAGCTTGCTTTGAGAGGTACATTTTCCACTGGCTAAACCTCAACAATATATACTCTATCTCTATAATACTCAATAAACATCTGGAAATACACAGAACCTAGTTTTTATGGACAAGATTTGAAAGAACCTTTAATCCACAGCTAGTAAAGGCAGGTATCCTCTTGGATAGCTGCTGGATAGTGCCATTCTAAATCCGAACACATTTCATGGCAAAGATCAGCACAATTAAAATCAGGTAATGACCAACCAAGACTTCAACTCAGAGCCAGTGGGAAGCAAACAAATAAAAATGTAAAAGAGGCATCTGGGTTGGAAGGAGAAGCAGGGTGAGAGCCCAGAGCTTCTCATAACGAGCTGGTTGTCTCTGTTTCTGATTTTCAGGGGCTGGGGCTGCATTCTTACAGTCCAATCTTCTCAGATTTTTTTTTTTTTTTAGTCCAGTGGAAAACTGATACCTAATTGTCATTTGTAGAGCTCATTCATTTTCCCTATCCAAAGCTCTTCTCTTCCCTTCCCACCAAGACGTTTAAAGTAGAATCATATATATGAGCTAATTGTTACTGTGTGCCATTGAGTTGATTCTGACTCACAGCCACACCATAGAATAGAGTAGAAGTGTCCCTAGGGTTTCCCAGGCTGAAATCTTTACAGGAGCAGATAGCTAGGTATTTTCTCCTGCAACACAACATGGCAGGTGGGCACAAACCACCAACCTTTTGGTTAGCAGCAGAGAACTTAACCATTGTGCCACCACGGCTTCTTGTATGAGCTAGTTGTTGTTGCTGTTATGTGCCATCGAGTCGGACCTGACTCATAGTGACCCCTCCCCTTGGGTTGCTGAGGCAGTATCACTACAGAAGTAGACTGCCCAACCTTCCTTCCGAGGAGTGGCTGGTGGGTTTGACTTGACATGACATAAAGAACCGCCAGCCTCTGGTTAGCAGTCAAGTGCCTTAGCCACTATGCTACCAGAGCTCCCTGTATGAGCTAGTAGGCTATTCAGTTATCATGTGAAATTCACTTATATTTCAGGATATACCGAAAACTCCAGACTAATCTCACTGCCCACTACAATACATTTTAAAAAGTCAATTTAAATCATTTCCTAATTTCAGCCTGGCTACAAGGACAATTTGCAGTAAGTTACCAACTATGGAGGGTCAGTTGGGATAAATATAATGTATAACATCTCATGAAATACAGTTCAATAGTTTAATATTCTACATTTAAGATGATCAGGCCAACTCCCCAGACCAGTGATTATTATACTATTTAGATTAATTATCAATATCCAGGACACATTAGGCCTATGTGGGAGACTTTAAAGGTCTAAAAGCAGCACCAACACTAAGCAGCTGCCACAGTGAAAAGGATACTAATGACTATTACAAAAATGTGTTCCTCTTCCTTACTGAGGGAGATTCATTCAAGGTTCCAGGATGTGATATTTTTCTATTTTAATAGATACGCTTTGAGGGAGACTAGTATGCACACAAATACACATACACTCATTCTGAGTGACCTATTTGCCTTCCCAGACTACAATCATCAAATATTCTAAAGCCAGCTGAATGTTCTACTATCTTCATGGTCAGTAAATACATGATTTAATTAACATTTAAGAGCATAAAGATACTTTCCTCACTGTTCTACAGACTTTCCCAATCTCTATGACCATCTAATAAAGAAAAGAAATGAAGTATAGGTTCAAAATGTCACATCCAAATCCCTCAAGACCTGATCTATTTTGGAATTCCAATATTTTTTTGATGTAATAAATAAAGGTAATATAGAGCATATTCCACATACTACAAAAAAAAAAAAAAAAAAAAAGTGCAATCTAGGGCAGTACTCCCTTATCCCTATTTCAGCAGAAAAGTATATAATCGTCACCTAGAGTGGGATAAATAAAATCTATAAATGGTTCTTACCAATTCAGGCTAGGTTTTGTGGAAAACCTCTTGGTGTTCAGAGCTTTCTGCATTTGGAATTGTAATGAAGGGAATGCGAGCAATCTGCTTCAAGTAGGCTGACAAAGCAAGGCAACGAGGGTTTCACTTGACATGACCATGGCTTTGAGATACATCAGTATTACCCATACCATTTACAAGAGCTTACTGAAAAGAAATTATTAGTTTTTTTTCTTCTTGCTTCCTTCCCTAATTTCATTGCACTCCTCCAGTTGTAGAATACCAAGTGACTTCCTTAAGAGAATAGCAATCTTCTTTCTAACTCCCACACAGCTGCATATCTTAAATATTTTCCATCATCAACTTTACCTTCTTATGTACTATATTTATAAGTTGATACTAGATATTCCACTTACTATTAGAAATGGCTGGCTTCTTCTGATACTTGAAACATTTCAAGCAGTGTTTCTATAATGTGAAAAAGCTCTAAGGTTCTAAGAGCTACAAATTTAGAATTGGAAGTGCTAAGGCTGGAGACTTAAAATGGACAGTTTTACTAAAACATAGGTGGAAAGAATCTGCTCTTCCCTAAATAAGTAAACTCAATTATTCCAGAAAATACTTGTCCCAATGCCATCAAGTCGGATCTGACTCATAGCGACCCCTCCTTGGGTTTCTGAGGCTGTATCACTGCAGAAGTAGATTGCTCAACCTTCCTTCCGAGGAGTGGCTGGTGTCCAGGCCCTTTAGTAAGCTCTAAATAACATTTTGGTACTAGGCCTTATTGTAAAAAGTCCAGCTTACATATGATCAGGTTAGTTTTTTAAAGTTCTCCTCTCAATTTTGATGCTAATGACCTTCTTATGTGAAAAAGTAGTGAGAGTTCAGTCTATGAACCATCAGTCTCTGATTGTCTGGTACCCATCATGTGCATTTTAACCAAAACAGTTTGTTCTTCAAGAAGCTCAATGTCAAATACTCATTTGCTAGAATAAATTTCTATTTCACTGCATGGAAATTCAAATCAACTTGTGATTCTGATATTCAACTGGCTGAATAGGGGCAAATATATGCAATAATAGGTACTATCCCAGTTACATTTGAGAGTAAAATTTACCCTCCAAGCTTTTCCACTTGAATCACCAAAAAGGCTGTACAAAAAACATATACCTACGTACATTGGAACCACTAAAGATTTCTGATTCTTCACATTCACAGCAAAGTAACGCTGCTAATTCACTGTCTTCCACATGAGAGCTCTGCAATACAAACAAGATCATTTCAGAGAACCAGATGAATGGGCCCATGAGCAAGAGGGAAAAAGCTAGCAGAAATCACCGAGTCAATGTTAGCTCATAGGGGAGAAGCTGCAATTCCGATTAGTAATGGCTATTTTGGAGAGAATAAAGCCAACAAGGTGATTCGTTAAGGTCAATGAAAATCAATTGAGGAATGTTTGATTAGCTGAAGCATTTTCTGTGGTTTCCAATTTGGGCAAAGGGCTGTCACTTTGCTGTAAAGATGCTGCTGCTACTACTAACTCTTCCCAAGTATATATGCCTGGGATAGGGTTATGTTAAATTTGTCCTCAATCCAAAGGCACACACTTTGAAGTGACTGTTTAGAGAATGTAACACAGGTCCTGATTAGGGGATCAAACCCATTAGCCTGGCCTCATTAGCCCTCTGCTAACAAGTGTTTATAAAAAGAGCTAAAAGATATGCCATACCCAACTCCCCCTGGCAGATGCCAGAAAACAACTTAAACCCCTTTCTTCCATTCTCCAATCTCTTTTTTAAAATCTGTCTAGAGGACAGATAAGGAAAATGAGACAAAGGAGTGAAACAATTAGCTGGTAACACAAGAGTATTTTTCCCTTATGACTAACAACACAAAAAAGAGAACAGAAAAAGCTCCAACTCTGACCTATAAAGTTCCATTCAAATGTCTGCTGTTTGGGTAACAGCTGCTGGAAACTGAGTTACCCAAGACAGAGCACTGATGTATATGCTTATGTCATCACAGCTTCTACCAGTCACTGAAACTTAGTCATCTATAACTCCTCTATGACTACTTAGTCATCTATAACTCCTCTATGACTACCCTTGTTGACTCTTGAGTTTTCAAAGCTGAGCTTGTCTTTCAATCTGCAACATATCTGCAGAGATTAAGAGTTTCAGAGTGGCAATAAACTTAAACGAAAGCAAGTAAAGCTCAGAGTTACTGTTTCTGGTAACTGTCTTTTTCCTGCCCTTTGTTTACTTTCTTCTTGCTATTTTCCTAGCCTGATCCTTTACATACTCTGGGCTTTTCTTCTCACAACTAAGTCTTATCTTCCATTACCCCTCCCTCTTCCTATTTTAGGAAATAAACAGAAATAACCAAAATCAATTTTTAAATCATGCAAATGCAAAATCACTCTTGCATTTTAAAGGGAAAAAAAATTTTACTCTCCATCTGTCTTATTTTTGTTAGTCTTCAAGATACACAAAGACTTCTAACACTTATATTAGGAAAGTTAAAACTTAGTAACTAATAAAATATTTTAAGTTATTAATAAGGTAGAGATCAAAGTTGCTTTCTATTATTCTAAGCTCCTATATCAAAACAGATTATAATGTAGATAATATTACCCATATCAAAAGTGGCTTGTCACTGTCACAGTATATACAAACTGAAGAAAAGTACAAGTTAATTAATCAATTTACATTAAATTAAGATTTTATTTCAACACTTCACTGTGTTCTTATTAACTGAAACAATTCATTAAGATAAAAGGTATCTATTTTAATGTGCTAGAAGTATTACAAGATAATAGGTTCATGGAAAAAATATTTACCCACAACCAACATGTTTGGTTCCAAATTTTAATTCTAAGAACTCTAAAGGAAGACCAAAGACATTTTAAGTTCTCTGAATTGTGGTTTAATGGTCTGAAAAAGAGTTCTTGTTGACCCAGGGATGGCTCCAACTATAGTGAGTACACTAAAACTTACAATGTGGGAAACCCCCTAAAGAAAAAGAATATACAAGTATAATAAAAATGCTTGTAGCTGTTCCAGTACCACCCTATAGGAGAAGTGTGACAAACGGGGAGGTAAAGTAGAAAAAAACAATGAATGATCTTAACACATTATAGATAAAGTATCTTTTACAAATTTACAAAAAAATATGACCATGTGAAAACATTACCCAGGTCCCTTCCAGCTTTTAGAAGGGGACCACACAAGTGGTGGTGAGAGCTCTAGTGGTGTAGTGCCTAAGGTATTTGACTGCTAACCAGAAGGCTGGTGCTTCAAACCCACCAACCACTCCTCAGAAGGAAGACTGGCTAATGTACATCTGTAGAGATACTGCCTCAGAAACCCAAGGAGGGGTCACTATGAGTTGAATCGACTCAACCGCAGTGAGTTTGGTTTGGTTATGCAAGTAGGGAGCCCGGATGTTTAAGCATTGTTAACTTCACAGTAAATCTACTTCCAAACCCACTCATCCTTGACTCTGTAGTAAATGGGGGAGAGAGAGATCAAGATATAAACCTTAGATGACATTTTAACTCAAAATTATCTAGAGATATGGCATTTAAATTATATTTAAGTGCTCAAATTAATAGCACATATGTAAATAAGGCCTTTCTTTCCTCCCCGCCCCCCACATACTTATATATGAGCCTTGGGAAAATCCACAAGACAAATAGTACCTGCTCTTGAAATTATAGCAGCAACATTATAATGCCATCTAAGCAACAAACATGTATGTGCAAGAAGTACCAAAGATGACCACTGTAAAATATTTAAGCTGCCCTCTTGGTTTGCTTGAGCCAAGTACCAAATCCATTTAATGGATGGGGCACTAAAGAGAATAAAATTATGAAATTTGCTATATTATAATAAAAGTGCTTAGTAAGTGCTAAAAATTATGATGAAAAGAGATTATGAGAAGCAATGGTAAAAAAAAAAAAAAAAGATCCAACTGTGATTCTTTATTAAGTCAACATTCAATGTATATATATCAATAAATATAAAGAATATTTATAAACAATAACTAATGCTTTAATGCATTAATATAAGTGATATCCCTAAATGAGACTAGGAAAGTTTAAGTAGCAGAACTTTGGTATCATTTTTCAAATTTCCCTAATTAATCAATATTGTACTCATGCTCATTCACTTCCATTAGGCTATAAAATTTACCAATTCTATTTTGATAACAAAAAATAACCTTTGATGATATAATATTGCTAATAGTAGAATATAACAATATAAAATATAAAAGTAATGATTTCTACTACTACAAGAAATTTTAAGAGACCTACATAAATGGAAGAATATGCCATGCTCATGAACAAGAAGACTGAACACTGTGAAAATATCAGTATTACCCAAACAATCTATACATTCAATGCAACCCCAATCCAAATTCCATCAACATTCTTTAAAGACATGGAAAAACCAATCAGTAATTTTATACAGAAAGGAAAGAGAGCTCGGATGAGCAAAGCACTGCTGAAGAAGAAAAACAGGAGGTCTCACACTTTGTGATCTCAAACCTTACTGGTATTGGTATAGCAACAGACATATCGACCAGTGGAACAGAATTGAGAATCCAGAAATAGATCCATCCACCTATGGACAGCTGATCTTTGACAAAGGCCAAAATCCATTAAATTGGGATGAGGTAGTCTCTCTAACAAATGGTGCTGGCAAAACTGGATATCCATTTGCAGAAAAATAAAACGAGAGCCAAACTTCACACCATATACAAAAATGAACTCAAGATGGATCAAAGCCCTAAATGTAAAACCCCAAAATAATAAAGTTCATCAAAGTTAAAATAGAGGCAAACTTAGGGGCCCTAAATTATGGCACAAATGCACTATCAAGCATAACCTAAAATGCACAAACAGCAGAAGAGAAACTAGATGACTGGAACTTACTAAAAAATTAAATTCTTATGTGTACCAAAAGCCTTCTGCAAAAGAGTAACATGAGAAGCTAGATTAGAAAAAATATTTGGCAATGACATATCTGACAAGGGACTTCTCTCTAAAATTTATAGAAAACTTCAACACCTCAATATTATAAGGACAAACAATCCACTTCAAAAATAGGCAAAGGACATGAACAGACACTTCACCAAAGAAGATATTCAGGCAGCCAACAAACACATGAAGAAATGCTCAAGAGTGAGATGCAAATCAAAACAACAATGGGATATCATCTCACCCCAGCAATAATAGCAAAGTTCAACATGATAGAAAACAGCAAATGCTGGTGAGGGTGTGAAGAAATTAGAACTCTCATACACTGCTTATGGAACTGTAAAATGGTACAACCACTGTGGAAAATGGTATGGAGCTTCCTTAGAAAGTTGGAAAGAGCAATACCATTTGATTCAGCCATCCTACTACTAGGAATATATTCTAAAGAGGTGAGATCTGGGACATGAACAGATAGATATATGCACACCTATGGTCACTGCAGCACTATTTATAATAGCAAAGAGATGGAAACAACCTAAGTGCCCATCAACAGACGAATGGATAACTAAGCTATGGTACATACACACAATGGAATGTTATGCAACATTAAAGAATAATGCAGAATCAGCAAATCACCTCAAAATTGAAGTAAGTCAATCACAGAAGGACAAATATTGTATGAGTCCATTATTATAAAAAGTCAAGGAAAGGTTTACACAGTTAGGAAATGTTCTTTGTTGGTTACCAGGGATGGGAGGGGAAGAAAAGGGAGGGAAAACAGATAGATAACTAAGAAACAGGTTTGATACAAGTGAAGCAAAAAGCAATATAACAAAAGGATGTCACTAACACATATTACTAAGGAAAAGAAAGACATGGAAAGGTACACAAGAAGTACAGATAATAAAGGCAAATAATATTACACACACAATACTACATTATCAGTAACAGTAAACACACTAATCTACGGGTCAATACATAGGCAGACAGGCAAGAAGATCAGGTATGGATAGGCAAACGGGAATATACCTATGACCATAAATATGTTTGGCAGACAATATTCCTACATATGTATTTGTATGTGCTATAAAAATGTCCTTATGAAGTTTAACCATAACAGGAGGCAAAATTAGGGTAATTTCTTAGACACAAATTAGCATCTTGAGAAAGTGAGTTGCTGATGCTATGAGCTGGAGACCACAGTCACAGGGGACATCAAGTTCAATTGGCACAACATGGTATAGAAAAATATTATTCTGTATCTTTCTTCAGTGAGTA